AGGGGCGACAAGAACTAGGGAAGAATTCAACAATTTGCTGTTGTGAAAATCTGAGGAATTCACCCATGTTTATAGCCTTCTTGGATCAGCCTCCTAATCTAATTAGGAGAGAATTTCCTAATCCAAATCTTATATTTGGATCTGGACTCTTAAATGGATAAGACTTATCTTATCCTTCAACTAATCCTAGTCAATTTAAAACTGAATTCGCCCCCTTTTAACTAACTAACTTAAGCCCAGTTTGAATTGGGACTTAGGCCCATTAAGCTTATGTGCTCATTTACTCTTTAACCTGCTGCCAGTTGGCTCTCTTTGTATGGCGTGGGACCCTAACATTGATCTACACATCACCCACATGGGTTCAACCCAACCTTTGTTACAAGGCCTGGCTGAATTCGCTGTAAGAGATAGCGAACCCTTGAGTCCATCACCATAGGCTCTTAATGGGCCCAACATTTACACTAAATGGTTATTGGATTCAACCACCTTATGAAAACCCAAGAACTGTGGATAGATGCAAGATAAGCCCATCAGGTATTACCCTCAATGGTCTTACTCTTAACCTCTTAGCCCATAATGATCAAACATTGTCCGACAAGAGAGGACCTCTCCCTCGGCTGTAAGGTACAGTATTGCTCTCTTTACTTACATGTATCCCGGGAATTAAAACCTTTTGCAAACATTTTGAAACCATAATATATATATATATATATTTATATTTATATATATATATATATATATATATTTATATATATATATGTGTGTGTGTGTGTGTGTGTGTGTATCTCTATATAAATATATTTTGCAAAACCAAATTTCAACGTTTGAAATTAACTGCTATCAGTTTAGGTTTCCATCAGAGATAGTGCATTACCCGATCATTCCATCAAAGAGAGTGCATCACCCACTCAGGTGAATTCTTAGACTGCCCCAACATACCCAGGTTTTGACCCCCCTCTAAGGATCTCACTGATTGGCATATCAAAGACAACCTAATCTGACACCTAGTGCAGTACTATAATCGAGTCTAGGAGTCAGGTGTAACATTTCAGTTTTGCCCATCTCCAAGGTCTAGGGCAATACTGGAATTTGGTCCGGTTCAAGATTTCAAGAAAACCCACACTGCATGTACTTCAGGTCTCACCCTGGCAGTTAAGACAAGTCACCCCAACCAACTTGGCGGCACATCAATGTCAGCCTTGTCAAGATAAATCTCCCCAGATCTATCTAACGGATGTGAAGATTCTAAACTAACACAAGTCTCATAAGTGTCAAGTTTAAGGGTATTACACAGAAACACACCACAATGACATGAATCAATTATATATTTTATTCATTTACAATAAATGTCAAAAGATACATCAATCTAATTGGAGTTAAGGGTATAACTATCTAACACATACCCCTCTTGTATAATCTCTCTCTAAACTACTTTAACCTAGTTCATAAATGCTATGTTGAGAGAGAGAGAGCTTAAAGATAGAATTTGATAAACAATTAACCAACCCTTACCCCGCAATACATACAAGAACTCTGAAGCCTAATCCATTTAAGGCTTTCACAAATCACAATCTTTTTTGATAGTGTTTTTTTTTCTTTATTATTAAAATAAAATAACAAATATATACAATAGTAAACGTACAAAACTTGATTCAATTATTCTATTCTAGTAATAATTAGTTGGGATGCATGCTGATATCACCTTGGTACTATAATAGGTTTCACTTTCAATTATTGTCTCTACTTTAATAATCATAACTTAGCATACTAATCCTATCATATTCGAATTGGATGATCTTACTTTGGCTAGTTAGATTGGATTGGATTTTTTATCCAATCCATTTGCAGACCTACACAAAACTCCTTGCTTTAGATATGAAATAAAGCATGGTGGAAAGAAATATTTAGTTTCAAACCACTTTTCAAAGTGACATGAGTTAGGAAACAAAACCTGGCTCTATCACCTACTTTTCATTTTTTCACTCAGATGCCACAAACTACTCTTAAAAGAAAGAGCAGATGCAGCTTTCTAAGGCTCAGTTTGGAAGGAGTACAAATACAAATATTTAGAGTGCAAAACCTTGTATTTTGTATTATTTTGTATGTATTTGCATTGTACATATTTGTATTTGTACTTTTTCTAAGTTGAGTGTAAAATCCAAATGCCCCTTAATATTTTGCAAAAAAAAAAAGCTTCTTAATAAGGAAAATCTTGTTTATAAAAGAAGAAAAAAACAGTACAAAAATTCATTTTGAAACTGCTTATGTTAGAGAATATCAATCTATTCAAGGACCTCACTTAACAGTTTAAGCTTTTAGGTTGAATGGTTCTTTAAGATGGTATTAGAGCCACTTTGACCAAGTGATCTAGTGTTCGGTCCTCATTAGCCTCATTATAATTAATTAAGTTTTAGCACAAAGTATGAATGGGCTTGTGCTTGTTCACACTTCAAGGCCAATGGGTTTTTGTGTGAGGGGGCGTGTTAGAGAATATCAACATATTTAAGGACCTCACCTAACAAATTAAGCTTTTAGGTTGAATGTTTCTTTAAGAAATTGAAAAACTAAAGATTGTTTTTTCGACAAAAGTACTCATGATTCTAGAATTTAGAGAAGCTAGTTTCCATTAAAAGATTTTTGTGTTTTAGTAATATTTTGAGAAGCCATACCATCAGACTTCTTAATATTACTGTTCAATTATTAAAATAACTTATACTTGTCTAATGATTTGAAATTTTCAATAACAAGCCAAGTTCAAAATCATGGACCAATCTTTTTAGAGTATTTTGTTGGTTTAGATACCAAATATTTAAATTGTAAATTGATGTGATAACGAGTATTTAAAAGTTTTATTTATTTATTTATTTTTGTGCTTCAAATCCATTCTGGATCTCCTACCCAGAAAAACCCTGCTCAGACCAGTACCCACAAGATACTACAGCTGCATATTCACAACGTCTCCCATATTTGCATGTTTACCATTCATGGTAAGATGTTCCCCATGTAGAGATATAGTATCATATGGATATGCTTTATGGGTAGGAGATCTGAACAACTTCAAAACTCTTTCAGTATCATGTTTTTCCTGCATCATATATTTTCCCTTTTTCTAAGCCCGTTGCAACAATTCATTTCATCAAATCCTTTCTCAATGCAAGTAGTAGAAATAAAGGAAAGACCAACTATAAGGTCAATGGACAGTACAAGTAAGTTTAACAGTAACATCAAAAGCACACAGTATATTCCTGCAATCAGCTATAGCGGTGCAAGACACTTTCTTTTAAGGCTCCCTTTGTGGTACAAATATAAATATGTAAGACTCAGTTTGGAAAGATTACAAATACAATTATGTACTGTATAAATATATATAAAATAATACAAATATAAGGATTTGGATTGTATATATTTGCATTTGTACTCATTCCAAACTGAGACCGAGCAAAGTGCAAAATTCTGTATTTTGTATGTACTTGCAATGTATATATTTCTATCTATATTCTTTCCAAGCAGAGCCTAAGGAATTTAACAGGAGCAAAAAAAAAAATTATTTTGCATTTCCTTCAAAGTTTCCAGAAATTGTTCAACTTAAAAGCTAAAATCTTATGTTATTAGGTGAGATTTCTAAGTAGACTTTTTCCTCTGATACTCCCTTTCATGCAAGGCTTATTAGACTTGAAACATGGACAAAAATAAGCTCACTATCTTGTGCTGAAATTTAATTAATTATAAAAGAAATAATGAATATCATTTCAAAGAAACTTAAACTTAAAAATTAAACCCTTAAGTGAAGTTCTGAATAGGTTTTTATTTTGAGTTTTCATATTAAGAATGGTTTTGGTCATGGGAGAACTTTGAATGTGGAGTTGAATTCTACAAGGATAGAATATAAATTTTGTTTATATTGTGCAAACTCAATTTACAAGAATGCATTAGACTAATCTTCCATGAAAGCCATTAAATGGTAGGCCATTGAACATGTACTTAATAGCTTGGGCTTTACCAAGTCTATTGATATAAAGAAGCTTCCTGTGAAGGAGAAACCAAGCGTTCAAGAGCTTAATTTCTCAACAATAACCAAGCATCTGCAATAGGTTTTATTGATTTTTCTTGTCAGACTTTGCTGATCCATGTGCTACTAGGGTTCTGAGAATCAATATAATAGACACCCAGATCATTGTCAATTATTACTTATTAGATTGGTTCGGTTGCTGGCCTCAAAAAAAAAAAAAAAAGAAAAAGAAAAAACACTTGGTTCGTTTGCTCTAACAAATTCTATTCCTTGCCAGTTGCCATATATGCAACAACAGTCACAGATCAATCACAAAATGATAAAGTGGAGAGATTTTTGGTTCGTTTTCCCCATTTGCCCAATTAAAGTACGTAGTTTGATCAGAACTGGTGTGTTAGGTTTTAAGTTAAATTCTAAACATATATTTTCCAGTCTTTTGAAAGTTTTCTTTTTTTGTACGAAAAAGTACGAATAGGAGTTTTGATTTTCACTGTAGAGTTATAAATATTTAAAATGTCAAAAACCCCAATTTTATACATCAATGCCCCTGATCCTTGACCGAACCGTTATTCTCCCTTTATTTTTATCACGTAATGTAAGGTTATATTCAAATCTCCTTCCCATTAAAAAAAGAAGAGAGAGAACTCAAAATTTATAATTGGTACAGCGTACAGCGTCAGCAATGGTCCCTGGACTGGAGCCTGCCTGATGATGTTACAGGGATTTTCTTTTTCCAGCTTACAGCTGCCACATGTCAAAATCATAGACCCCAAGAGAAATAAAAAGTTGAAATAATTAGGTAGTGCCATACAGTTGTAAACATTGCTCGTGCAGTGGTGGCCACTGGCCACAGAATGGGGATGACTGACAGATATACACAACCAAAGCAACGTGGCTTACAGTTGCAGATAAGCAATAATCCACAATCTTTTATATTGAGATATAAATTTATTATGATCCAAAATTATTTGACTTCTTCTTAACAAACACCTCTTCTTGGGAATGAAAATTAATAATGTCATCACAATAATTTAGACCTCCAAGTCTAAAAACTAAAGGAGGGCCCACAAGTCACAGCTCCCAACTTGTCATTCGCCATTGCTAGGCTTCCCCTCTTTTTAAAAGAAGAACTGAAAGATGGCCCACAAAACCATTGGATTGGACTTTTCGGACTATTCACCACCTATACAAAAGATTCCAATCTCAGAGTCCTTAAAGCTCGGGCTACTGAATCCCGGTCTATTCTTTCATACCAAGTCAAGAGGGTCCGATCCTTTATTTTTTTGGGTCTTTTGGGGGCAATTCGCAGTGGCAGTGGCAGTGGATCTCTTCCACCGTTTCGGTCCGTTGGGCAGCCCCGGTTGCCGACCAGGACCAGGCCCAGCTATAGTCTATAGGGTATAGCCTATGGAATGAAGCCGGCATTCGAGAAGGGAGCCCAAGTCAACGGTCAAAACCCCGCCTTGTTTCTTGTTATAAAGTTGACGTCCCACTCCCACCATCTTTCCTGTTTTTAAAAGGGATAAGAACACTGCACTCCAAAATCCAAATTACAAGGCTAACAACTAATCCCACTCCACCACACAAACTAAACTGCTCAATTTCAGCTACTCTATCATCTCTCTGCCAAATCTAGAAGAAAAGAGATGCATCTTCTGACCTCAGAAACCGATGTCTTCGATCGCATCCCCGACCCCATCGTTCTTCTCATCTTCAACCACTTATCCGACATCAAATCCTTAATCCGCTGCCGAGCCGTGTCGAAGCGCTTCAACTCCCTCGTCCTGCAGGCCGACAACCTAGTGGTGAAGGTTGATCGCGTCATCTCCAACGAAACTGGTGAGTGGAGCTTCCTACTACACCTCCTCAGGTCTATACTCCAGTCCTTGCAAGACTTGATATCCCTGAGACGACTTCCAATCCAGCCCCGAAACAGAAACTCTCCCACCGAAATCCTTCGCGGATTCGAGAGTATCAGACGGCTTGTGATCGAACTTCCGGCTGGAGATCTCCGTTTGGAGAAGGATGCGGTTGTGAGATGGAGGGCGGAGTTCGGGAAAACATTGAAGAGCTGCGTAATTTTTGCGGTCCGGACCATCGGAGAAGCGACTGACGATGGGGGAGGCAACGGAGGAGACGGGGATGACATGGACTTCAACGGTGAAGACGGAGGGGGAGGACTGAAGTTGAGAGTGGTGTGGACGATTAGCGCTCTGATTGCGGCTTCGGCGAGACATTATTTGTTGAGAGATGTGATCAGAGAGCACAGAGAGATGGAAAGCTTGGTATTGAAGGACAGAGAAGAGGAGGGGACGATGGTGATGGATAAGGAGGGGCTGAGGGAGTTCAGGGAAGCTGCAGTGGAGGAGGAGGAGGAGCAGGAGGCGAATCAAGTCAATAATAGGACGGTGGGGTGGAAGAATAGGACGACGGTACCAGCGGTGCGGATGAGGATGATGCACGAGCCACGGCTGGATCTTCCGGGCGGCGTAAGGATGAAGGGTGCGACACTGGTGGTGGTGAGTCCCGCAGCCGCACAAGGCCAAGGGACGGAGACAGCAGACGACTCGGCCAAAGAGTCAGAGGAGCAGAAGTTGGCGTTGGATGCGTTTGGAGGGATGTTTGGGGAGGCAGCCAAAGCATTGGTCAAAAGTCGGAGTTACCTGCTTGAGATGAACTCGTTCTAGAAATCTAGAGTCCTACTTCCTACGTGTAATGTATCTATTATATATGTATCATACTATCATATCATGTATGCACGGGGTGGTTTTTCAATTTTCACTCTACCGTAACTGTTACCATTAATTCGTGTAAAACATGAATTGTGTGTGAGTTTATCTTCGTCACACGGCCCACCGTGTATTGGCAACATGCATCTCTTATGAATAATAATAACATACAACTACGACTCTACGGGAGATACGGGAGATGGAGATGTTTCCCATCCCATGTTCATGTACGGTTGAGAAAGTACGAGAGATGGATATGTTCCCCATATCATATGCGGTTCAAACCTGTGAGGAGCAAAATCACTCGAATTGTGGATTTATTTTAAGTTTGAGAAAAGGTTTATTCAAAGAAATCAAATTCAAGAGATAAAAGGGAGGGATGGACTCAATAGTCAATAGAGCCTGTCAGCAAAAGATTTCACATTTAAATAAGAAGCTAGTAGGACTTGAATTCAGTTGGTGGGAGGCTTTATGTGCAAAATCTCACAGTCATAGACTCGATGTCCTGATTCTTGAGGGATAAAGTTTTAATTTGGTAAATGAACAAATGGGAACTAGGGTGTAGGTAAGCAATCCAACAACCTCGATCGGAAATATTTTAATATGATATCACAACCAATAGCGCCCAAAATCTCAATCCAATGAATTGCTGCGTGGCAACTTCAGTTGACACTAGAACTAGAAGGAGAGAGAACCTACTACGCATTTGGCTGTCCTTCATGCCGTAAGCCCGTAAGTCTCAATGTCTCATTCCACTGCTTCCAGTCCCCACCACACACCTGCCCAGACGCCAAAGCCACAGGCCCGCAGTCAGAAATAAGCCCTATTTTCTAGGGTTCCTAATTCCTACTTCCTACCCTTTGGGCCCTCAACCGTCTACAAAGTCAATTGTTTGCTGAAACCTGAAAATATTAGTATTATGGAAGCGTTATGGGTTTAAAACCAAAAGTTGGTCCAAATAGGAATGTTCCTATAACTTATATGTTAAATATGAATATAGGATAGATAGATGGAATGGTACATTCCACAAGGGGGTTATGGGAATATGGGATGGGTGATGGAAAACAGTGGTGGGCCTGTATGCGACGACCAGCAAACAAGACACTTTGTCCAATATATTTAGTGGGAGAACGGCAAGCCCGTGCCCACACCTTTTCAACTACCTTTTGCAAGGGAGCTATTTTCAATACAAGACCATAAAGGATGCTTGAACGAGCTGTGCCCTAACTGAAGCGGAATTCATTCGGTTAAATGGTCTAGATCAGATCAGGGCCACTCTCCTTTACCCGTTTATATAATAATAAATTCTGTGCAGAATTTTCATACTCCATTTCATCTATGATTTAGACACGTCGAATGACAAGAAGGCGCATCCAGAGTTCATACTCCATTTCTCTGAAATTTGAAGCACCCTAAAAAGGGAAGGGAGGCTAGCAAGTAGCAAGGGCGCAAGTTGAAGCGTTGCAGTTACTTGTGGAATTCTTAGTAGTTGAATGATGGATGAAGTGCGTGGAATGTTAGCACAGAGAAGGAAGTCAAAGGAAGGACATAAATTCGTTTGGTGACTGGAGAGTTTTAGATGATTTTTTTTTTTGACTCGAAAGTTGAAGATCACGGATGTAGTTGCAACCAATCTTGATATTGTAATTGTAAAAATAATGATATAAAAAAGCACACAGATATGAATAAAAATAAAAGGCGTTACTGCAGAAAGTTGGAAAACAACCAACTTTTAGGTTGGGGATTGACCATCATTTTCAAGCCCCATCAAAAACCTAACAATTTTATAAAAATGGCACCATGTATCATCAAGTGAGTCCGGATCTGGTTCCAACACCTACTGCGGCTGTTGGTACCCTGTGTGTTGGGACCAGATCCTAATTCGTATGAAGTATGAAGTATGAAGTATGATGTCTCGCATCCATATTTCATTACCTTCAATTTATTTCTTATTTCTAGTAACTTGTCAAAGTAGTGTTGGTACCATTATTTTATTTTGTTTCCGCATGAAACGTTTAAGGTTCCTCCACCCCTTAATCAGTCAAAACCCCAATAAGGGGTGTATCGGTATTATTTTTATTTTTTAATTTTTTTAAGTCCAGTTCAAAGATGCTGGTTTAAGGTTCCTTCACCCCTTAATCAGTCAAAACCCCAATACATCTTTTATAAGGGTATATCAGGATATTCTTAATACGATACGTATCGTCCAATACGGATCGGTACGTAATGATACTTTGAACCTTGGTTTGATCATGTTTTACTCACTTCACCCACCCTTTTGGAGTAAGAAACACCAACATGCATTTGATGCTTATGCAAACAGCATCTCATACATGCATTTTTGAGGTATATTTGTTTCAACCATAAATAGTCTCAAATAACAATTGTATGCCCATTTGTATTGATCATCTCAAGACTTTTCAAGTATAAACAGAAATGGTGACTGACGTCTTTAAAGGTTTATCAGATTTTTTTTTTCAATCTTTCATGTTTTATCCTTAAAAATCACCATCATCATCATATGGGCCTTGTACCAATTATAAAAAGTCAATTACGTGAGGTTGTGTTTGGTTTTGTGGGTATTTATTGAAAAAATACCGCCACATCAGTGCTACACAGGCGTTGATATTTATTGCATATGAAACAAAATAAAACAACTGTTTAACAAATAAATGGTATAAAACTGAAATGTTTTGATTTTTGTGCATAGGGCATTTGGGAAAACACCAATTCCTTGTTTCCCCTAATGCCCCAGCGTTTCTTGAAACCAAATGCTGATGTGGCATACTTTAATAGGTATTAATCTGATGTGGAAAGTAAAAAATATTTAAAGTGAAAAAATACGAATAAAGGTTTAAAGTGAAAAAATACAAATAAACGCCTATCCATAAACACATACCAAATCATGTTTGGTCATTTCATTCCATTTAAACTTTAAAGCCATATCCATTCTATATCCATTGTTAAATTATTGATAAAGTGAATATTCAAAGAAAAAAAAATTCTGATGTACGTTGGAACCACTGAAAGTTGGAGAAACTGTTAAATGACCTGGGTACTCAGTATGGAGAAGCTTATTCGGTTCAAGATCCGCCATGCAAGTGGTAAATCTTAAAAACATTTGGTTACGAATGGATAGTGTTTCATTGAATAAGTTCTCTCACATGTTATAGTGGACAATTATAAGATCAAATCCCATTGTCACCAGGGTTAGGGTGTTATGCACATGGGGTCAATCCCATCCTCTAGCCCCATGAAACAACAAAATAAAGAAATATATAGAGAAAACATATGGGCTGTGTCTTTTCATTTGATTTGGGACATCAAATTAGGTTAATCTATAACTAAACTAATTAATGACCCTGTGTTGAGTAATTGTCAAATATACTTAATTATGCATTTTGTTTGTTTTTTTATAAAAATTAGGTAATTAAATCAGATTTTATTTGTAATCAATAATCCACATTATCCAAAAATTGCATATATCCAAAACATAGTCAATACAACGCCAATGTCGGGTCTTTTATTTTAATTAGGAAGTTAAATAAGATTTGACGTATTACTGGTATATCTTACCAAGAGAAGAAGCATAACCTGGACTATCATATATTTGAAGGAGAAGCCATCTTGTATAAGGGATTTATTTTGATATATAAAGTTCGCTTGTCTGATAATTTAGCTTTGACTGGATGAGAAGCTAGTCACATGTTTGGAGGAGAAACTCTCTTTGTGTGAGAATTTAGCTTTGCCTACATACTTGATACTCCAAAAAAATAAATAAATATACAAAGCATACAAATAGATAATAATAAAGATATACAAAATATACCCGAAGATAGATATGGCAATTTTACCCATAGGGTTTGGGGCGGGTACAAGTGGAGAATTTGAATTCAGGGTCGGGTACGGGGCAGGTAAAGCCTGGCCCCACTCCGCCTCATTGTCATTCCTATCTAGAGATAGGAATGGCAACAGGGCGGGGAGTACATTCTCCATCTTTGATCCCGACCCCCAAATCACCCCTATCTCCATCCCTGATTCTCGACGGGGAAAGGAATCCCCCCTCCATCCCCAATTCCAATGGGGATGAATTTTCTGTCGGAGACCCGAATCCCCGAAACTAAGAGAGAGAGAGGACTGTTGGGACTTGGGAGAGTTTATATTCATGATGACTGATGAGAGAGAGTTCGAAGGGTGACAGCGATGACGACGACGGTTCAGTTCTCTGGCCTCTCCTCTATTCGATGTTCGACGGGCGAGTGGGCAGTGGCAACAGTCAGCGACGACGGTTGGCAATCGACAGTCGGGGAATCGACGACGAAGATGAAGCTAGGGTTTACTGGTTTTGTGGTTCAGTTGCCTCTCTTGAGTCTTCTCTGTCGAATAGAGAAGAATGAAGACTGGTAACTGGTTTAGTCGAGGGTTAAAAATTGCCACCCACAGATATGAAATGATAAATAATAAAGATATTTTATAGGTATTCATCTATTTTCTTCTCCAAATTAAAGTATAAATGGAGGGAAATATGAAACAGCAAAAGGTAGGAAAGAAAATCTTCAAACTTGCTTGATGGGGGTGGAGGTAACTTCGAGTAAAACTTGAACACGTGGTGACTCCGAGGACGCCTTTCCCTATGAGCTTCCACCTTGGTAGATCAACACCACCTCGGACCTATGGAACTTACCTCGGATATCTACAGACCATCTTGCTCTACACAGTTCACCGGTGGCGAGCTGATTACCATTCTGAATCGTTCACCCGCTAAATGGTAGCTCAGCATACAACCGGCCAAGCTATATATATATATGAACAAAGAAACACACTCCATCGAGGTGAGCTATACCAGAAGAAGAAACAGCCAAGCTAGCTCCACTTCGTGTATATAGAGTAGCCATCTGGCAGCCCAGCCTGATAATGTCATCATCGCGGGTGGCTGTCCCGTCATCCAGTGGGACTCGGGCTTCCTCCATGCATCAACAACATAGCACGTGAGTGACCTGTACATGTTCCATTTGAATTCTAAGTGATGCAGCGCAATCCGGGCACTCCTAGCTAGCGGACGTCTGGCTTCTAGTTGGCGACGGACGGTACCTGAGAAGAGGAAGGTGAAGGATTCCCGGGAGACTTGCCCGGTGGGAAT